CAAGCAGATATACTAAGTAAAAGTGTAATGACGTAAATACAAACACAAATGAGGCGTTAGCCCATGAAAACAGATCATGAAATTGCATGAGCTACTGAGCACCAAAATGAGGGCCGGACTGAAAGCCTCCAAAACCTAAACCTGAAATGGGTTCGAAATTAGTAACAAACCTGTTGCCTGGGATAAGATCAGAAGAAGAAGGTTCGTCTGAGGGTTTCTGATCCTTAGGATCCATCCCCTTATGCGGCTTATATCCACCAGGCTCAATCCTCATATGATGATCGTACACATCAAGATCAGCTACAATTCGATGTTCCAGACATTATTGGCTTTGCACCCAACCAAATATGAAGCTGAAGGCCATCTCCTTACATATCTACTGAATGTTCATCTCGCTAAATCTATGATGTCTTCCTCATATCCGTGAAGTCTAGCTTGGCACTCTGACCTGCTACTGATTAAGGTTGAGGGATTTTAACTTGGCAGCTAGTTCCTTTTGGGATAAGTTACAACTCTCATTTAAGATAATTGTCTCTTATTGGGATAAGTTAATCTCTTATTTGAAAACTTAAATTTAAGGATAAATGATACTGCTCTCATTTAATTAAAACTGAAAACTAAAAGGAACGGCTAGGAAGGATTGGGTAATGGAAGGGCGAAGGCCCAACTTGCGAACGAAAATTATGTTAAGATACAAGCACATATAATAAGTAAAAGTGCGATGACGTAAATACAAACACAAATGGGGTTTTAGCCCATGAGAACAGATCATGCGATTGCATGAGCTACTGAGCACCAAAACAAGGGCCGGACTGAAAGCCTCCAAAGCATAAACCCGAAATGGGTTAGGAATTAGTAACAAACCCGCTTCCTGGGATAAGATCAGAAGAAGCAGGTTCGTCAGAGGGTCTCCGATCCTTAGGATCCATCCATTTGTACCGCTTATATCCACCAAGCTCAATCCCTATATGATGATCGATCAATTATAAATCGATGTTCCAGACATTGCTGGCTTTGCACCCAACCAAATCTGAAGTTGAATGCCATCTCCTTGCATATCTATTGCATGTTCATCTCGCACTCAATGGTCCTCGCTTGCTTAACCTCGGCTAACTCTTCTTTCGTGTGGCGTACTTCAGACGTCGTAGCATTGTGAGCTCATTTCAAATCTGTGATTTCTTCCTCATATTTGTGAAGTCTAGTTTGGCACTCTGACTTGCTACTGATTAAGGCTGAGGGATTCCAACCTGGTAGCTAGTTCATTTTGGAGTAGGGCCATCTGAAAACAACCGTAGGGTTAAAGCTTACACAAATGATAAGATATGCAGAGAATGAGGGAATACCTTCATAAGATAATGAGATTCATAGGAGTCGAGATCATCATTGAGCATTGCCTCAAAGCGACCGTCGTTATTAGGATGAGTTAAGCCTCTTGCCACAACAGTAGCAGCGCTTGCATTGCCTCATAGATTATCGCCAAGGGTGACGAAACTCCCATCTCTTTTTGTGAATTCAGGTCTCCAAGCTTAAGATGAATTATTGGAACTATTGCCACTAATCGAGCCAAAGGGGGAGGAACCGACTGCAATTGCATGGGTCTAAGAGTTGTGCCAAAGATAGTTGGCAAACCACGTTAACACTTTTTGGGCCTAGTGGCCAAATGACGTTTATCCAACTTGCCCACAATTATGGGCACTAGAAAATCAAGATGAGGCGATGCAACACAGCGGGGCGGGGGAAAGTCAGAAGGTGGTGAAGCCATGGTAGGAGAATAATTCGAGTCGAAGTCCGTGTCCGTTTGCCTTGTCTCTTTGTCTTCTTCTTTTTTGTCTCCTTCTTCTGAGCCCTCAATTTGGGAATTGATCACAAGTACAGGAGAGTCTACGTTGAACTGAAGCTCAATATCAAGAACGAAGATAGATCTAAGTAAGGGGTTTGGGGGCAACAACCGGTCGACCAAACAATATGGGAAGTAAATGATAGACTTGTGGAGATAGGTGATTTGGGTAAGAGTGTTAGTAACTTCTCTAGAGCTTCATATCTTCCTCGTTACAAACCTCTTTAGCCAACATTTTTTACCTTTGAAGATTATCTGTTTTGGACCATCCGATAAAGCTACGAAAGAAGCTTGTGGTAAGTTATGTTTACATATTTATGGAAAAGCTGATAGCAAAAGTAAATTTATATACCAGGTTTAGGACCAAAAGTAGAAGGAATAGATAATTGAGACAACTTGGGAGCCTTCCAATTCCTGGAAATCAAAAGAGGGCGGTTCTTCCAATCTTTGGCTCTTGAGGGATCCAGTGACAAGAATTTCTTACGATATCTAGGTTTAAAATTAAAGAAACTAGTGTCACCCTTAATGGTAATCCAGTCGAAGAGATAGAGGAAATCTCTAAAACCTAAGGATACCCCTAACTTCAGGCCCAATGTCGGGAAGGTTGACATAACCAAGTGAGAGTTTAGGTTCAGTTACATAGGGTGAGTATTTGTGAAGAATAAGATGAGATGAATCATGGGATGGAACGGGAAACTAATGGCCCCTAAGTGGTCTGCAGACAAAACAGTAGAGGCTGGGATACCGGAACTCGAATACATGTCGGCTCCAACAAGAAGTGGGCTGAGGTGCACGTCATCTCGAAAGTAACGTTGGTCACGAGCCTTGACCATTTCAAAGTGTGGTGGAGTACCACCATATTTAGACCAATGTGTACGTCTCGACATGAGGAACAAGATGGGAGACTTGCTAACCAAAATTGATTTGAGGAGATAAAAAGAGGAATTTGGACTCGTAAATGTAAGTGGAATGTTTGAAATATTCCCATAGAAGGAGTTTGAAATGGAAAAATTACTTGTAAGCCAAGAGGCCACTTTGAAACGAGAAATCACAGGCTTGGTGAAGAACTGAGCGAAGGAAGTGAAGAAAAGCGGGGAAAGGAGAAACTTAATTTATAAAAAGAGAGTGCATGAGGAGTTTGGACGTAAATCTTTATCCCTATGGAGGATGGATGAAACTCTGATTAAGGGGACGGGGGCTGTAGACATCCTGATGGAGTGGACAAGACATGGAAGGAAAATATTATTTTCTCATGTGTATTTCAGTGTGTAGTCACAATCTAGGTGACGAGAGACGACGATTTGACAAGAGCGAAAGAAGGGAGCTTGTTCTGGAGCACATGTTCAAAGGTGGAAAAGCGTACATGATGACAGAATTTAACTGGGCATGAAATTCTGAAACACGTTGAACCCAAGGTAATGACACATAAATATGTATATATGTGTGTGCATAGAGATATATATAAATATATGAAAAGTGTTTGCAGAGATTCACATGTCAGTACGCAGAGATATCCACATATATGTTGTGTGTGTATGTGTGTGTGTGTGTGAGTATAAAAAGAAAAAAAGAGAAAGGCAGGTGTGTCAATGTCGGTAAGAATGTGCATATATATATATATATATATATATATATATATATAAACCTAAACCAACATAGGTGCAAGTATGCAGTCTAGACGTACAGAGTAGGAACTAGGTGTGCAGAGATAACTTTGTCAGTCCACTTTCGTAAGTTATGCAAAGGTGTCAGTCAACTTTTGTAAACCATGTGAATGTGTCAGCCCACTTTCGTAAATTATGCGTCAGTTCACCATGTTCGTAAACTGTGTGAAAGTGTTTCACATTCGTAAGTTCCACATTCGTAAATTATGCGAAGGTGCTCTAAGTTCATAAATTATGATGTGATGTTTGTAAATTATGCGAAGGAGTCAATTGACTTTCGCAGGTTACGAAAAGAGTCAGTCCACTTTCGTAAGTCATGCGAAGGTAGTCCACATTCGTAAAGTTACGGAAAGAGTCAGTCCACTTTCGTAAGTCATGTGAAGAGTCAGTCCACTTTCGTAAGTCATGCGAATATAGTCCACGTTCGTAAAGTTACGGAAAGAGTCAGTCCACTTTCATAAGTCATGCGAAGATAGTCCACATTCGTAAACTATGCGAAGGTGTTCCAAGTTTGTAAATTAAGCTGTGATGTCTATAAATTATACGAAGGAGTCAGCTAACTATTGCAAGTTACGCAACAACAAACTTTCGTGAATTATGATTTAGGTGTCAGTTTACACTCATAAATTATGCTAAGATGATAGTTCCCAAATTTTGCGAAGATGTTAGAGCATTCGAGAGTTAGGCAAAGGCTGTAGTAAATTAGGCCTTAGAAAAAGTGGCTTCCACTAATTGGGCTTTAGAAATAAGTGCTTGAAGTTTTAGCCTGGCTTAAAGAAAATAGTTCCAAGGCCTCATGCGATCGAAAAACTCAGTTTTTCCCTATTTTGTATACATAAAAAAGGGAAAAAAAGGGCATTGTGGGAGGATAAAATTCGGTTTTTGACTCATGGGCCAATACCAATCATCCAAAGAGATGATGTTGTGCAAGATAAACCGTGAGGAAAGCCCACAAGAAATATACAGACGTAAGAGAAGGGAAACGTGTCTAGATAACTACCTCCGTTACGGAGGACCACTAAGGAAGAGGGAGAGGAAGACAGGTCGTGGTACTTTTTTCCCAAGCATGTAGTCCGTGTCTAGATAACTACCTCCACTACGGAGGACCACTAAGGAAGGGGGAGAGGAAGACAAGTCGTGGTACTTGTTTCCCAAGCATGTAGTTCGTGTCTAGATAACTACCTCCACTACGGAGGACCACTAAGGAAGAGGGAGAGGAAGACAGGTTGTGGTACTTGTTCCCCAAACATGTAGTCCTATAAATATGGAAAGGAGCCAAGGAGTAGGGTACGCAATTAGGGCCCGAGAGAAACCAGAGAATAGAAAATCAATCAACTGACTTGAGCGTCAGAGTATCTCTTTCAGGTACCCCACCCAGACAAGCTACGGAGAAAGACTGTTCGGGGACGCCTCTTACGAGAGATTCGGCAAACATGAGGATTGCAGTCAACAAATCTATGGAGGTATTTCTTCCCATAGGAAATTTCGCTCCAACAGAGTGAGATGGAATTTTCCGCATGGGAATGACCATAGTTACATGTTCTAGTTAGTAATATCATTATACAACAATTACCTCATAAACATCCTCAGAAATTGTGGATCTTAATATATTGATTGTGAGTCTAAATTCCTTCTTCAGAGATTCAGACAACGTTTGCTTCCTGCCTTCGCGATTCTGAAGAATAATAGGTCAAGTGGCAACTTAAACATGAAATGTATCGATCCAAGGCACAAGGAATTGTGAAGGGGTTCCATTCCCATGGATGTTCAAGTCACGAGAATACTTTTCGGGCTTCCATTAACTAGAAATGACACAAAACCATCCTACTAAGCAGTAGGACTCAAAACCCAATATGCATTATCAAACTGTAAGAAACTGTACCGATCTTAGAGTTATTCTCAATCCTGTAGGTGATGACCTCTTTAAGCCCTTAAGAACTGGACCTATCCATCCATTTCCTTCTTTGTTTGCTTCTGCTTCCTGAAAAGTAAAGACATATTTGTAGAATTTATGCCCGAGAAAATACTGGAATCTGCATTTTTCTGATGAAACGAGAAAAAGTAACTTACAAACGATTGTATAATCTCGGCCACTGTATCTTTGGAGAAGCACCCATCAATTACCGACTTCCTGAAAAAGGTAAGGAAAGCTTAATGATGTCACCTACGGAGATTTGTGTGTTGATTCCAAGGATCGAAGTGGAATTAGCAATAAACATCAGCAACTAAGATTTATTACTTGTTTAAAACACTTTCTTCATCAGGCGCTTTGACTTCCACAGAAAATTCTTCAATCGCAGCTTTGACTGCATTCTCATTTCCGGAGTTTTAAGCTTATCAAACGCTTCTCTAGAACAGAGATTTTCTGATGCAAAAACACAGTTTAATAACAAATTTCAGTTTCGTATAAAAACTATTTAAGAGTTTTCTCAGCAGATCTATAACAACGCTCACAAAACAAAGGCTACAATGCAGTCTTCTAGGTTGTTACGGAAAATCTTGTGAACCAATGCTTTGGTTTACGGTGGAAGAAAATTACCTCAAGAGGGACAAAATGGGTTGCTAGTCCTGCTGCAACCAATTCCTTACCATTCAGCCTTGCTCCTGTTAAGGCCAAGAACTCCCCTGCATTCTCCACATGATATCAATCAGTCTCAGAAAAATCGTGGAAACTTCTTTTCCTTTTTATCAGCATGCTTACCGAGATGCCCGGGAAGATGGAAAAGCATATATGAGAAACCACAATCGGTATGAAAGCCAATGCTAGCTTCCGGAGTGGAAAAAACCTATCACGAAATGTACCACAGAAAATTTTGATTTTCACTTGCAGAAGTAAATATCAAGCCGGTGAACACCGAGGATAGAGATGTTACTCAGTTTTTTCAGTGACTACTACTGAGAACTTCATTGGGACCAACCATCAAAGATGCGCCTCCACACCCATTGAAATTCCGTGAACCAGAGCCACCTAATTAACACGATTTCTTCTGTGATACCTTCAACAATGACATAAACTTGGAATACATGCATCACAGAAAGCTACTTTTCTCGAAACATTACCCGGGTTTTCTTGTAAGTATGAATGTGGTAGCAAAGCCAATACATTCTGGAAACAACTTCAAGGCAGGAATCCTCTGCCAAAAGAGAATATGAGCAATTTCATTTTCTAATTTCAATATACGCTGGGAACTCAAAAAGATTTTCGCAAAAGCGAGCGTTTACTTGATTTCGTGCTGTCATAAAACATTTTCAAGTCCCCACCTGCTGAAAAAGCTCCACCTGATCCCTACACAAGAACAGCAGAGTGTGTCAAGTGGCTAAGCCTAGTACCTACATGGCTATGTTTGTATATTGGTGTTTTAAACCAAGAGCACCAATGGCGGTTCAAGATTTCACGATCATTGTTAATTACAAGCTCAGCATTGTCATCTTTTTCCCACTTTTCCAAGTATTCAGCTAGCAAAGAAACCTATTGAAGTAAAAACAATTAAATTACGAACGAAAAGGAAATGATATCAAGAACTCGAACGAAACAACAAATAGACGCAAAATCGATTGAGCATAACACTTATGAAGAGATGACATTCAACTGACGAGGCCTGTTCAAAGTGATCAACCTCACATGCTCTATTTGTTCTCCAACAACCTTAAACATCACTCACGCAAACACCCATCAAGAAATTCACAGGCAGTAATTTCAGCAGAAGTACAAACAACAACAACAGCAGCAAAGCCTTATCCACTAAATAGGGTCGGCTGTATGAATCTTAAAACGTCACTGCGCTCGGTTGATTCATTCAATTAGAAATGCATAAGAAGATTTACCTCATCTGTATTTACAAATTCTTGTGCCATTTCAACGAATGGTTAACTGGTGGGTTATAATCTAACAAACTGCAGAAACAAATTTATCAGAAAGAAAGGAAAAGATGGATTGTGTAATCCCAGCTAATTAGTTCCAAATGTTTATGAATAATCCTAGTATGGAAGCTGGAACAGAAACAGTTGATCAAACAACGAAGGACAACTTACGTTAACAATGGAGTTGTTGATAGCAACCCAAGTAACTGGTCTGGTAGAGAGATAAAGCAAATGTCTGTACTTGTGTTTCCACTTCCACTTATGTATGGTTTCCATCTGCCAACTACCACCTCCAACTACATCCATGGTTTTCACAACACGTGGTTTAGTTATACTTGTGTTACTGCCACCAAACCCATCGTCATTACAAGCAAGGGGACCCACGGCAAAATAGTACAATAGAAATGCGGTAGAATTTCAAGTCAGGTTTGCTTTTGGTACCTAATTTGAGTCACGAAGTAGACAAAAACATCGGTACTTCTCTTATTGAAAGTTTCGGAAGGACGTATGTCATTTGACTGTGGTGTGAGGTAGACTAATATACCTTTATCCTTTATGGGCATCATTGGAATTACTCCTATTCTTCAGAGAGTGGAATACCTCAAGCTTCAGCCCAAAAAAAAAAAAAAAATCCCAAGGGGATGTTTTGGTTTGGGTTAAAACTTGATTATTTACTTTTAAGGAATTACTGTTCAAGATAAATCACAGTTTGATACTGTAAACACGAAAATTCTGTAACGAAAGAAATGAGAACACATGTACTAAGTAGATTTGTATTAATGAGTTTGTAGGGTTACAATCTCTGTTTACAACTTTCCTCTGATTCAGTCTTCAAATTTGATGTAGATGCGTAGGTTGTTGATCCAAGGGTCGCGATGACTTGATCTCGAACGAATGATTGAACGATTACTTCAAGTTTTAAGCTTGAAACAATGCGTGGATAGTCTTCACCTTAGGTTTAGGGCTGCGGCAAAGGGAGTGTTGATATAGAATTTCGTTAATTTAAGGGTCTTGGCGACTTGATCTTGCATCGAACGTCATTACAAGTTTTGAGCTTGCAACAAAATCTTGAAGGAATTAGCACAAGTGCTTATTGATTCTTCAAGGGAATGCTTCGCCTTTGGTTAAAAAAAACCTTCGGCTTTGGTTGTACGTTCTTCGAATAGAGCTTTGGCAGCGTATTAGTCTTCAAAGATTTGGCATAGGTTCTCCTTTTGTGAGAATTTCGGCCTTGAATGTAGAAATTGTTGACCCTTATGCTTGTCTGAGGACCTTGTATTTATAGACTTCTCAAAGCTTGCCTTTGGATGAATTTGGCTTTGATTTGTATCTTGATTTGTCCCTGTGAGAATTTAGGCATGTTTTATGTCTTAATACATTGTCTGATTTTCATAGTATAATTTGGAGATAAGTAGTCTCTAGTTTATGGGAAGGGTAGCTGAAGAAATCTTATTAGTTACTATTGAGTGTAACCCTAGCAAAATTGTGATTCTAATCCATTTTCATTTGGGAGGTACATGACATGATTCATTTTTCTCCCTGAGGAGGCCTTGGTCATCGACTCATCATATATGTAGTTGTCATTCGATCAAATGACATCGGTGAAGGCAGAATATCGAACTCAAGACGTTGAGTGCAAATGTTCACTGCATTGCTCCACTTAGTTGCCGGGAAATCTCACCAGATAGGAAAGCATGAACTTGACTCCCGCAAAATTGAGTGAAGTATTGTACCTGATATACTCATCTGCAGATGCAGATTACATGCAGCACAGGATACGCACTAACGAAACCAACGAAATCAGGCCGAAAGCCGGGCATCCGAGACAAAATTCCTAATCAAAAGTAATGATGCTCATACTTGAAAAGGTTTCACAAGGATAAGCATAAAAGAAAGTACCAAGCTCATTAAATTCATTATAAACTTGTAAAGTGCAATATTCAAAACTGAAACAATCCAGACAAAAGAAAAAAAGATGCTCATACTCCCACGAAGAAGCAAAAATCCGGTAACTAGTTTAACTAATTAAAATGCAAAGCTTGCGGATGAAGGGAACCCGTAGGACATAACGAAATTACATAAAGAGGTTGGGCCTGGACGCCTTGTATGTCGTCTTGAGCTTCCTGCTTGGGGGCCTAACCTTCCTGAACACCAACGGGAACTTGATCTTGGAGTTATGGAACTGCTTGGTGCTCTCCCTCTTGCAGAGTTTTGCAGGGATGGTAGCTGTCTTGATGATTTGGATGCACGGAAACCTCACCCTGTGACGAGATGCCAACTCAGTGTACATCGCTTCAACAGCACCGTTGAGAGTTGTGTCTCGGTACTCCTTGTACATGTTGTGATAACCAGTTCGGCTCTGATATCGAAGCCAAATCCCATAGTTCTTGATGGTAGTAGGATATTTCTCAAAAATCTGCCATCAACAATATCAGAATTATTCTTTTCAATCCAAATACCTTGAATACTAAACAGTAAAGAACACTAGCAAAACAGTTCCTCTCAGTGTCAATATGTTCAACTTGGTGTCATCCAACGTTACACCAAAAAGAACCTTAAAATTTAAATCTTAAGTGACAACCCTATTCCAGAAGCTGCTACCACATAATATAGCGTATATCTCAGGAATAAAAAACCCCGGAACTTTTATCATAACAATATATGAAACGTTATCAGAAACTGAGTTCACAGTCAATTCAGCTCTAGGTTAAGCATAAACAATCAAACTGAATTTTTATCTAAATCATGGCCCAGCTTAAGAAGCCAACAGACATTTGGTAAAAGAACTTCATGTTGGTTCATAGAGTACGAGAGAGATGATGAAAATGTAAGATGCATACCTCATTGATGGCCAAAACTTGTCCATTGCTTTTCTTCACTTTCTTCAACTTCCTCAAGAAGTACCTAATGATAAAAATACACATCAAGAGAACATCATCCGAATGAGATTGAAAACCCAAAAACACAGCTAAAGATGAAGCATTCGTGAACAATGAAAAGTTGATTAATCTTATACAGAATTAAATTTCTCTCGCTTTTCGGTTTACGGGGAGGCCAAGACCAAAACAACCACGACGACATCCATTCTAGGACTCAACTTCCTTGCCCTTACTATCATCCTAAAGCTAATTCAAAACGCAATCAGTTGGTTCATCTCACAAGTGCAGACAAGTTTTGCCCCTTCACCGAACTAGAAAATTATGCTTATTTTACTTTGATTTACACCATTCAAAAATAAAAACAAATATATAAAATACAAATTAGTTAGATTAGCACGAACGGTACGTGTGGGTTTAGTTTATCTGGTATTATAAACCATAAATTACCAAAAAAATCTAATATTAAAAGTTAAATCTTTCTTCATTCCCAACAATTTTCAAGAACCAAATACAAGACATAGAGCAAAATAGATACAGATGGAAAAGAGCTTACCAGAACTTGGATTTGGCACGGACCTCATTGGTGGCCCAGAGCTTCATCCGGTAGATCTTGGGGTGCTCATCCTTCTCAGTCGGGAGGGCTCTCCCCACCACCTGGTACTGGTGAAACTGTTTCCACAAAACAAAACCCACCATTTTAATCTCTATAAATCCATGCTTTCGGAAAACAAAAAGCTAAAAACTGATTGAAAAATCAAATAAAATCACAAAAAATGAAATCACAGAAAATGATTTCTGAAAACCAAAAACTGGGTTGTGATAAATAAGATCGACAGAGTAAGATCATCGCGGCTCACCCTGAAAACACCCATTTTGCGATGAGGGAGAGAGACGCCGCTGCTATGGCTGCTGAGTGCTGCTGGCTGCAAAAGCACTTTGTCTTCCAGAACCCTAACAAGTGAAGGTTAAAAAACCCTACTCCCCCTGCTCGGTGTATCTGGGCCTTCAAAAGTCTTAACTAAAGCCCAACTTATTGGGATTGAGAAGTTTTTTTAATTTCACTCCTTAATGCCCCAAATGTAAATTTACAGTGATGGAATAAAAACTTTATTTTCTTTTTTGATATAACGCTATAATTTGTAAATCCAAATCAGCTAATTGTTCTCGGATAGCATCTACTCCGGTAGAAAGATCTCTATTTCGAAATGCATCGAAGCCTTGGGTAGCAAAAAAACATGGGATGTTGTATTTTTAGGAATGGATTTCATATTCAAAAAATTGAGTAATCATTATAGGTGAAAAAATAAATAGATATCAAACTCATCGAAATATAAAATTTCGCATTTACAAATGAAGAAAAATATTATTAAACATTATCACTAAGTGACAGAAGAACTTTATTTTTCTCGAATGCACATAAAAAATCAATATGGTCTTAATGTGCATGCTGTCATGGACTTATTGACTTGGATGTACTTTTTTTTTTTTAATTATTATTTAAATTCTTGAAGTGCAGGTTCACCACATCTATCGAGTTTTAAGTTTAACGACTTATTTAACCATGAGCTGATGATCTAGTGGTAAGTGGCAGATTACGAGACTTTCTTAAAATTAAAAATTGAAGATTTTGGGTTCGAAACGTGATGTTGGTGTGGAAACCAGACTTGTGACCAGGAGAATGTTGAGTTTTCCGGCCCACGGAAAATGTGGATAACCGTAGCTTGACACCGATTGTCCCCCTTTAAAAATAATAAAAAATAAAAAAGTTTAATGACTTATTTGTGGTAACTGTTTATCTAAATTCGGAAACAAACAACACCCTGAAAACAGAGCTCAAGCCTCACTTAACTTTCACGTGTCTTAAATTTGCCCCTTATAGTCAAACTGCATTAATAAATTTAGGGAAATGTTATTGGTACTCCAAAAATCTTATTCTACATTTTTCACAAGTGTATTTTTCTTTCTAAATATAGAAAGTTTAAAGTGTAGAATGAAAGTTTTGAAGTGTTATCTATATTAAACTTGTTTATGTTGCACAAATAGATTCGGTTTTGTTAAAGTTTTACTTTTTTTAATTAAATTTTCAACCACACAGCACTTATGTGGTTTACATCTAAAGCAACAATGGATCTTATTTGCAGCACGTATACGGTTTTAACAGATTTATATATGTATTTTTTTTTTGTTAGTATGGGACAAATTGAGACACAAGTTGAGTTTTAAAGGGGACTTGAGTTTTAGAGAGTAATAAAATATGAGTTTTATATGGTTAGGTGAGATTTGATATTGAGTACCAAGGAATGCATATATGTAATTAAACTTAATCTGATTGCTTTTAGCTGGAAAGGAAGAAAGAAAAAAAAAAAAAAACCTCTAAAGAAATAATTTAACTTACAATTTGTGAGAA